GAGAGAGAGAGAGAGAGAGAGAGAGAGAGAGAGAGAGAGTCCTGGATCCTTGTAATTCACAATCGTGCAGCCCCTTAGCAGCCCCTTGATGCCTGGCAAACCCTGCAGGACAAGGCCTATCCTTTCCTTGGTGAACACCCCAACACCCTGTAACGCACCCGTGTGGCCCTGTGTCCCCCCTCCCCCCTGAAAGTAATCTCGAACCCATTGATAACTCCACTGAAGGCTGTGAAATTGTGAATGCGTGGCAATCATCTCGTTGTAGTGATTGTCACTTGTTTTCTCAGTGTGCACACATGGATTCACTCACACCTGTGGGTTGGCTCATTGTGCAGGTGATGAAGTTTGCGACTCAGAATGTGCCTTATCCATACAGCTCGGCGGAAGTCTTCGAGTCAAGAATGCAGTTCCCGATAGGAAGGGAGTATAATGCCAACTCAGCATTCCGTGACATGATTCGACCAAAGGTCAGTGAAATGGGACGCACAGTACTCAAGGATCTCTAGCAAACGACGATCCCTTCCTCAGACCAATTGGGAGCAAAAAAGAAAAAGTCAGGTCTTTGAATGTGTGGTGATGAAAGAGAAACTGGCAACATAGAGGTTGATGGCCGTGGAAAATTGCTCCTTTCCTTTGTTTGTAGCGAAGGGGTTTGCTGTGGGTCTGCTGATGATATCTTAAGAGAAGATCACTTGGTCGGTCGACTGCTTCCCTCTCCGATCGTTTCAGTTCGTTAACTTCATTTCATTTCTCTTTCTCATTCTCGACTGGCGCGTAGCTCAGTTGGTACAACCATGAGCTGTTGAAATACCAGGCGCCCAAGTTCTAATCCAGATGAAATCAAAATAATTCTGAATTACCTGGCCCCGGTCACTTCTGGCACCAGGCAATCACCCTCCAAAAAAAAAAAAAAAAAAAAAAAAAAGGGGCAAGAGAATCGAGCACCGTTCAAAATGATTAAAATCCGAACGGGTTACCTCTTCTCCTCGTGCTTCTAGCTACAACAGGGAACTGAAGCTCGCCTCACCAGAAGGTCTTTAACCTTTTTTTAAGGGTTTTGTTTGGTTGTAATTTTAACCTAGCACTAGCATCTAGAGCAAAGAAGAATCTGTGAATCACCACAGCTGCCCCTTTTTCAAGTGCATCTATATTCCAATTGCATTGGGGTGATGAGGGGCAGCTTCCCGGCAGCCCCCAGGGCCGTCACTGTGTTTCAGTCAGAAACTGATGTCTTACCTAGCTCGAACTTGCAAGCCACCTGGCACCAGACGTATCTGGTTTGAGCCGCGTCCAGCTTTCAGCAGGCTGGCACCCAGGTCCGGTAGTTACATAAGTCTACCAGAGTGGAAGCAACTCGCTACTTGCTGGGAAATCCTCACTGGTACAGAAATTTCACTGGTTTGTCGCTCCAACTTGCAACTGTGCCCCTTCAAAAGCCCTCTAACGTTCTGTCCTGGTGCCAACGTCTAAGCCTGCCCCGTCTCTATCTGTCTTTTTGCCAGTAAGTCCTCCTCTGAATTTTCTTTTGTGAGTTCTCTATGATGTAACCTACACGCTTATAAATTTTGAAGCCATTCTGCTAAGCCAAAAAAACATTAAAAATCGTCAAAGATGGGGTGTCAAAACGTGCTCGCCCACTCACTATTTTGTTCTTTTTCACTTTTTAACTTTTTGTTTTCACTTTATTTCGGGGCCTGAAAAAAAATATTATTTTTTGAAAAACAATTAACGAGTTATTGATTATGTAAACTACATATCTGTCGATTTTCAGGGCATTTGTCAATGCCAAAAAATAATTAAAAATCGGCAAAGATGAAGGTGTCGAAAAGGTGCTGGCACACACACTCATTTTAATCCTCTTTTTATTTTTTCTTATTTTTATCATAGTGTTTATTTTCTGTATTTGATTTTTAATTCAAATTTGGTAAAGAATTTGGATACAGTGCCCAGGCAAATGTTGTTTAGTTTATTTTTCTCCATAACATATTTTGTTTTCGGAATTTTTTGAAAACGTTTTTTTTTTTTTGGGTCCGCGTTCGGCCTGAACGTCCGAACGCCTTCCGAAGGGGTCCCGTACGTTCGGGCGTTCGGGTTTGGGCATTCGGCCCGTCCCGAACGCCGGCAACCCTGTATATATGTATACATGTATATGAAACTCCGACGAAACAGTTTGTCACAGCCCCTCGTTTGTTGTCCTCTTCTCTCTCTCTGCCTACGGTTTACCGGGCAGTTCTATTTGTGACGATATATATGTATATATATATTATATATACTTAGTGCGCTCTTTTAGTTTGTAGTGATGTGACAATATATATACAGCACCCTGCTACGGTATTCTCCGGTCAGGTCGAGCGGCAGTGGTCGGGGCCGTCACTACGCGGCCATGCTGTGTCTCTAGTGCCAGCGACGTGTCTGGAGTGTATTTTTGGCTGTGACAGACCTTTCTTTGTTTCGTGGGTGTTTTGCTTGCTTGTGATGGGGTGTGAACCGACAGTCTGTAGAGTTTTCCATCTGGTGTGGGTGAGTGATAGTCTGCTTTGACTTTTGCCACAGGTACCTTGAGGGCAGTGGTTGGTGCCCAGCTCAGGGTATCAGTTGTCGGGCGGTCGTTGATGCTTAACCACAGCCGGGGTTAAGGTGGATTATCACTTACAGTGTAATCAGTTAGGGGATTCTGCAGACTGTTTTTTTAGGGTTCCGCCTCCTGATGAGTCGGTGAAACTCCGACGAAACAGTTTGCCACAGCCCCTCGTTTGTTGTTGTCTTCTCCCTCTCTGCCTATGGTTTACCAGGCAGCTCTGTTTGACTATATATATATCGTCAAACAGATAAATGAATGGTTTCACTGTGCCCTTCATGTTTGTCTTGTTTTTTTAATTTTTAATTTTTGCCGTTTGTTTCGCAAATTGCGCTCTTTTAGTTCATAGCTATGTGACAATATATAGGGTTCAGCCTCCTGGGGAGTCGGTGAAACTCCGACGAAACAGTTTGTCACAGCCCCTCGTTTGTCATCATCTTCTTGCTCTCTGACTACGGTTTACAGGTTAGCTCTGTTTGACTCTCTCTCTCTCTCTGTATATATATATATATATATCGTCAAACAGAGTACCGGTCAGCTCTGTTTGACTCTCTCTCTCTCTCTCTCTCTCTCTCTCTCTCTCTCTCTCTCTCTCTCTACATATATATATATATATATATCGTCAAACAGAGCTGCCCGGTAAACCGTAGGCAGAGAGGGAGAAGAGGACAAAATATGTCCTCTTCTCCCTCTCTGCCTACGGTTTACCAGGCGGCTCTGTTTGACTATATACTTTCCCTTACTTTCCCTTTATCGTTCTTTGTTTGTCTGCTCTCCATCTCTCCTCCCTGTGTTTATCCCCTCCCCCTTCACTCTGCCTCTTTCTCACAGCGTACAAGTGGGCTGTTATGGCACACGGGGATGGGGGAAGCTCGCGCTCAACTTCATCAACGTGGCAAGCCTTGTACGTGAGAGGCGCGGTGAAAGGGGATTCAAAAGAAGAATGCGAAAAATGAATGGTTTCAGTGTGCCCTTCATGTTTGTTTGTTTGTTTGTTTGTTTGTTTGTTTGTTTGTTTGTTTTTTGCTGTTTGTTTCACAAAGTGCGCTCTTTTAGTTCATAGTTATGTGACAATATATATACAATATATATAGGGTTCAGCCTCCTGATGAGTCGGTGAAACTCCGACGAAACAGTTTGTCACAGCCCCTCGTTTGTTGTCCTCTTCTCCCTCTCTGCCTACGGTTTACCGGGCAGCTCTATTTGACTGTATATGTTACTCAAGTTGAGTGATTGACTCACTTTGGCATCCAATTGTCTGTTGTGAATCACAGGAGATAAAAACCGCAGGCATCATCATAGATCCTATCAAATACGTGAAGTCGGAGAATGGAGGTGGTGCTGCAGCTGCGAAAACAAAGAGACCCGGTGATGAGAAAAAGAAGTTCTCGCATCGTAGAAAGTCTGGCGGTGGGAAACGGCAGAAGCAGGGGTGATTGGCCGTGGAGTCTGGACATTTTTGCTTTGTCGAGGAGTTGACATCAACTACAGCGGGCCAAGGAGCGTGGATGGAAATCCCATGCAGAGGGTGCCGAAAGACGGCAAGGCTTCTCATGGCGGAAAGGTTGACGAAGGTGCAACAGCCTTCTAAGTTGAAGGTCACAGGTTCAAATCCTGTAGGATGCTGAATGCGGACGCAATTGCACGGACTTACGGGCTATGGCAGGTCTTTTATAGCTGCTGGTGCACATCATAGCAACCCCAGGTAATTGCTGCCGAGCATGCAGGCTACTATGCATCAGGTAATAGAAAACCCAGCACCATACGGCAGAGTGTGCATAAGGAAGATGATGATGCAAACACATTTTACCATAGCGAGTTTCCACAGAAGGAAGTGGCGAGTAAGTTTTTGCTACCATAGCGAGTTTCTCCGGAACAAGTGGCACGTATGTGTTTGCTACCATAGCGAGTTTCTCCGGAAGCAAGTGGCGAGTACGTGTTTGCTACCATAGCGAGTGTCCCCGGAAGCAAGTGGCGAGTACGTGTTTGCTACCATAGCGAGTTTCGCCGGAAGCAAGTGGCGAGTAAGTGTTTGCTAATCTGTAACGGTATGGAGACGAGAGGTTCGCAATCGATGCAGGTGAGTTTCTCTTCGTAGATGCATCTGATTTTTGGATTTTGTGTTGGGCTCAGATGATGTAGATGCTTGGTGCTTGGATTGGCATTTGGGGGACAGAATACCTGTCCCAGAATTTGTGTTGGGATTCCCTGTCTGCACATGTTGTCCGTCTGCGGTCTCTGTTTTGATGCTGGCGAGCGAGTAGCCTTAATGCTTATTAGCTACAAGGATCATTCTGGGCAATCTAGAGTTTTGACTTTTAACATAGGGGCTCGGTAGTTTGCGCAACTTTGCGGACCTTCGGTTTTCTAGCAGAGGACAGTATTCTGTTTGAGCTTTCTGCTTTTCCAGCAAAGCCTGGCCTTGTACTGGGGGAGTCAGGAAGAATGTATGTTGCGGCACGTCTGTGTTTTCGGGAATGTAGATTTTTTGTACCCACTGAGAGCATAGTTATTGGAACACCTAAGCCGACTTCGGAACTCTGAAAAAAGTATCGTTATCGGTTTTTCTTGTAGAACCAGTGAAAAACTCGTTCGTCTCTTTTTTTTTTTTTTTTTTTTTTTTTTCTCCCATAGCTCTAGGTTGCCCCGATCACGATTCCCACACGAAGGTCTGTGCGGGTCAAAGTGAATGTCATGGCTGTATGCTTGTTCTGCATGGTCCCATGGCAGAGCCACAGGGAATGGCCAATTGCAGTCCCTCCCTTTTTTTTTTTGGAGGGGGGGGGGGGGGGGGGGGCCCTTTTTTCCCTTTTAACCCATCACTCTCTTTTTCGTAAAGTTACCCCGAAGTGTCGTCGCATTTTCACAAAACTGGATCACCAACTGAAAATAGCAGCAGGGAGCAAAAAAAATCAAAAGATGTGATTTTTCACTGCCTGATTTTCTTTGCCATTCAGGATACTGTCTTAGAATTGTATCGTGTGGGCCCCGCTCCACTACTCACCACATGCACAGAAGACAAACAGTATGGCCGGGTATCTTTCCATGTTCTGGCGGAAGATTCGTTATCAATTTGCACAGTTGGTGAGTGGTTGAGCGAGGCCCTGTTTCTCTTGAAAAGATCAGCAACCAATTTTAGAACTCCTTTGCCCCAAAAAAAAAAAAGGATTGTTTTTTTCGAAATGCCCCTCCAACTTCCATTTATTTGCAGTATGCCCCTCCGACGGCCGACTTACCGTGTCGTGCCCCTGGGGCCTCTGAAGTTTCCTGCAGGCCCCTGTCAGTGAGGGGTGCAACTTTCCAGCATGCCCCTGTCGCCTTTGGTGGCACTCACGGCCGTTCCCCTGGCCCTGGGAGGGGAGCTACCGCGGCATACTGGAAATTTGGAACCGGTACCAGTAGGGGCATATTGAACATATTTCAGGCCCAAACGACCCCAGGGGTTTTTCAGAAACTTCAATCTTTGTCAGACGGGCACGACAGGGTAAGTTGGCCATCAGAGTTGCATACTGCAAATAAATGGAAGTTGGAGGGGCATTTTGAAAATCTTCCCCCCCCCAAAAAAAAGAAAAAGAATTTCTTTGCTAGCGATTTCTGGGCGTGAAAATTTACCCCAATCTGCCCTCTTTAAAAAGATGTTGAGTGGGGCACTTAACATGAATAAATAACTTCCGCACGCTACCTCCGACTCCACCTCCGTACGCAGACCCAGTCTGTGGCCAGGGGGTTCACGGGTGCAACCTTTCGATTGCAGCCAGGGAGTGGTGGTGTAAGGTGAGTAGCGCCTAACATCATTGTGTTTATCTGATTCCATCAGCGTTCCCTTGTCATGTGTACTAACAATTACATGTGTCCTTTAACAAAGAAAAAAAAAAAAAAAAAGCAGAAAAAAAAACAATTACACGTGTCTGGCATTCAGCTCGGCCATATTGGGTCCATTGTAGAAAATATATGGTCTGAAACTAGGCTATTTGCCGGCCTGGCCAGGCATGCCTGGACCGGCACAGGGCCCAGGGTTCGCCCGGGTAACCCAGGCAGGCCAGAAAGTGGCTTGAATTTCTCTAACTTCTTTTTTTTTGAGGGTATGGCCGTTCTGCGCTCGTTGAGAGAATGCAGAATCCGCCCTCAAACTGGAAAACAGTGAGTGCTCTTCCTGGGGCGTTGCAGGGTGGGAGGGGATGGTGTTTTGGCTGCAGTGCATTGCCTGCACGTGGGAAGAGGAAGGAGATGGCGGGAGGGGAGCAAGGAGATGGCAGGAGGAAGAGAAGGGAGGCGGAGAAGGGAGGCGGATAAGGGAGGAGGAAGTAGCGGGGAGCTGGAGATTGCCTAAACGACCGTGAAGACTTTACAAAAGGAAAAAAAAAGAAGTGTGGGAAGGGGAGAAAGATTTTGAGAGGTAGCGAATGAGAAAGGTGGGCGTGTGGCATGTGGCACGTACTGAGTCTCTCTCTCTCTCTCTCTCTCTCTCTCTCTCTCTCTCTCTCTCTCTCTCTCTCTCTCTCTCTCTCTCTCTCTCTGGCTAGAGAAGAAGAAGAACAACAACAAAGAAAAGAAAAAGAAGAAGAAGAAGAAGACACTTACCTCTGTGGGGGGCGATGGTATGCAGCTTGCATAGTGGAGTCAGAGGGCGATGGTGTGCAGCTTGCATAGTGGAGTCAGAGGGCGATGGTGATGAGGTCAGCTTGGGCAATTTAAAGCACACGCTGCACTGAGGTCACACAGCTCGTCGATGATGCCAACTCCAAAGTGGGGACGGGGTGGTGGAGCGGCTCGGTGGGATTCCAGGGGGGCAACTCCAAGAACTCCAAGTGGGGGCGGGGTCGAATCAAAGCACCTACGTCCAAAATCTTGGTGGCCCAATTTGGGCCACTGGTCTTCAAGGATCAGTGGCCCAGATTTAGGGCACCCAAAAAATTGTTTGGGAGGCCCAGTACCACTCTCCGGAGTTCCAATTATTTTTTTCAGGCCTCCCTTCGTACGTGGGAGGCATGGTAGCGGCCTTTGGGGGGGGGAGTGGCCAAGTGCAAGAATGCGCTGGGCTTGCCCATGGCCTGCCTGGACAGGCCCGCCCGGGCGGACCTTGGGACCCAGGCCGTCCAGAAAATAGCCCAGGTCAGAAACAAAAAAAAAAGAAGGTAAATATGGTCTGGAGTCTGGAGTCTGGATGTTATATGATCTGGACATCTGTAGCATCTGGCTGGATAAACGGGCCGACTGGCCAGATGCTGGTGTGTGGGTGCCCTGTCCAGATGGAATAGAGAGAAATATATTAAGGTGGATTATCACTTACAGTGTACACAGTTAGGGGATTCTGCAGATTGTTGAGGCTTCAGTCTCCTGATGAGTCGGTGAAACTCTGACGAAACAGTTTGTCACAGCCCCTCGTTTGTTGTCCTCTATTCCCTTTTGTCCCTCTCTGCCGACGGTTTACCGGGCAGTTCTGTTGACGATATATAGGGGTTAGGGATTAGGGTTTGTGTTTAGGGATAAGGGTTTAGCGTCTTAGAGTTTCTGGTAAGGGGCTTACGGTTACTGCCATTTTTCAATGCGAAGTAGCTAACCGCTTTTGGCTGATGGTGGCACATTTACGAACAGCTTTTGGCGCGGAGTCGTTTTGATCATTGGACTATTTTCTGTGAGTTGAGAATAGGATAGGAATCGCTCTTCGTGCCACGGGAGGATTACACAGGAATTGCGCTTTTGGAAGTGAAACCATATCATATGTGTGCATTGTGTGGTACAGGAATTCGCCACCAAAACCATATGGTACAGAATTCACCAATTGAAGACCACATGGTACAGGATTCATCAATTCAAAAGCACAATTCCTGTACCACACAATATGATAGAATCGCACGTTGTGCCACGCGAGTTCGAACTCGCCGCGCGCGTTCGGAAACTGGCCACGCCCTGGGCCTTTTTTTTGGGGGGGGGGGCCAAGGACTGCCAAATTCGAATTCCGCAGGCCCCTCCCCAAAATTTTTGAAATGGCGGATCATGAAAATAGTGCTCATTCCAGGTTTTTTTTTTTTTTTTTTAGGCGGGGTGTGGAAACTGGCCTTCCCCCTGCCTTCTGCAAATCCCACACAGTGGTGGAAAGAATTTGCGAGAAGGGTGTAATTGCCCAACAGCATCCTGCCCCACACTGTCTCGCAGAAGTCAGAAAATTTGTTTGGCAAGGCCAGCCGATCACCAATATATGCTGAAGATTGGCATTCAGGTCTGCATGTCGGCAGGTATGGTCCTCGATGACTCCACAATGTCCGCATACATTGTAGGAGTCATTCGAGTTACCTGCAGGGGGCCTTGAATTGACGTGAAGGGGGCCCTTTGGTCTCTCTCTCTCTCTCTCTCTCTCTCTCTCTCTCTCTCTCTCTCTCTCTCTCTCTCTCTCTCTCTCTCTCTCTCTCT